GGGGGGGGCAGTCATTGATCCTCGTCGGCAGTCATCAAGGGAGAGAAACGCCGCAGAGGCAACTGTTGCGATGTCGCACTGCTTCAGGGATGTACTGTCCTCGAGATGTGCCTGGTGTAGTGTCCTCGACATGGGACAGTTGGCCCCAATCCAGGTATGAATCCAATAGTTCGATCACTAGCTCACTAACCCGCTCAATAACCAGTTCAAAGACCGGCCGGGTGCAAGCGGAGTACACGGCTTACCACATTGTCTGGAATGGATCAGGACACTCTGATGACCTGTGGCCCAGTTTGTGACTAGAAAGAACTATTATCGAACCGTGATGTTGAGCTCACCAATTATAGCATCGACCGTGGTCGATTCGGGTCATTTATTTTCTCAATGATATTTGGAACCCCAGTGGGTCGAAAGCAATGCGGCGACACGGGTTGGTTCTGTATAAAGACCACCACTGGTCTGATCTACTACGCGCACCTTAAGACGAAAAGGACTTCAATAGAAAAGCCGCCTGAAGTACTGAGATGGGAATCGGAAAAAAAGGCTGAAGGCCTCAAGGTGGACGATCAAAAACCGGATGACTCCGAACCCGATGCATCGAAGATCCATAAACTGAGCAGAGATGCATGCATTTCTATAGCTATTAACTCAATCAAGGAGAACGATGTTACACCTACAATGCCGTACGATCAAGTAATCATCACTAACCTGGTTCATCATTTTGTAACCTCCCAGGTTACCGTATGTGTAGGGGATACCGTATCTGTAGGGAAGGCACCTACAACGGGCGTAGATTTGATTTTTGTCCGAATTGGCGCACACGTGTGGGTTCGGCATGTTGCTGCACACACACAAGAGTGTTGCACAAGAGTGTATTTTAGGTGGAGAAGATGTTGAAGTTGGACGCGAAGTTCCTGGCAATCGCAGACGAGGATCGACAAGAGATGTATGAAGTAGCACGTAAACTGATCTTGCGGGGTCGGAGTTACGAGGCAGGGGGTTTGGATGACTTTCGGGCCGAGTTGGAGAAAATCGATATTCAACCAGTGCACACGGTGGACGAGATTTTGGGAGTGTATTTCAAAGACCCAAAATGGGAGAGAGTAATAGGGACCGAAGGGGCGAAGGTAGCGGTGCTAGATTCCATCGAAGTCGCCGAGAGAAAATTGGCCCGAAAGTTCCAGATGTGGTTACCGGAGTTTGCCGAGTTGGTCAAGAGGCACTTCAAGTCTTATCTGGTAGGAAAAAAACCCTGGGACAATCCCACCTGGGATGACGATGAGCGGATAAGTGCGCTGCTTGACGACGACGACTTTGTCGTGGAGTTTGCGACCGACAAGAAGCTCCAAGAAGTCAAATCCTACATTCAACAGAACTTGGCTGACAGAGCCTGTCAGCTGAGCGACATCAACCTACTCCATTTACCCCTGGAAAAGGAAATTGGGCTTACAGAATTGATAGAGTCTGTCGACTCCCAACGCCGTTCTCAGCAGGATAACCAAGATAGTCAAGAAGATAACCATTCCCAAGAAGATGATCATTCCCAACGAGATATAGATAGTAGTAAAGAGGACGATCCCCTTGAACACCACCCCCATAACGACGGTTTCCCTAAGGAGGCACCTCCTGGTCATAATCGTACTGGAGGAGGTCGGCCAAAGGAAGGCTCTCGTACGGGCGAGCCAAACGAAGGCTCTCGTACGGGCGAGCCAAAGGAAGGCTCTCGTACGGGCGAGCCAAAGGAAGGCTCTCGTACGGGCGAGCCAAAGGAAGGCTCTCGTGCTGAGGAGACAATGAATCAAAGGGGATCCTCGCCTTCGGGTCCACGGTCTCCGAAGAGTCCCGGTGAGAGTGTTCGAAGCAGACAGCAAGGAGAGACCACTCGACCCAATGACCCTGGATCTAGGGGCTCTAGGGGCTCTGAGTCTAGGGGCTCTGAGTCTAGGGGCTCTGAGTCTAGGGGCTCTGAGTCTAGGGGCTCTGTGCCTAGGGACTCTGCGCCAGGAGGGTCCCATAGTAGAGACTGTCGGGGTGTGTCCGTGGAGGGTAATGAGGAAGCGAAGAAAGACACGTCGGAGGTGAAGCAGGAGGTTGATAAGAATGAGTCGGTACAAGATAGGTCCGGCGAAGGCAAGAATGAGGGAAGCCTTCCACAGTCTGACGCTGTGGGTGGTGTTAATGAGCGGCTGTCCGAGCCGAAAAAACGCAGTGGCGAAGTAGTTAGCAAACAGGATACGAATTTAGACTATTACTCAGAGGAGGCAAGTGGGGGTGAGGAGGGGTTGGTTACGGCTACCCATTCGTCGCGGACGGCGAGCAACTCGGCTGTAGCTGCTGACAGACAGATCGACAAGACGAAGGTTCGAACGAACAGGCGCCCTCGGTACTGTCTGTTGTGTCGGGAAAAGCAGGTGTGGGGCAAGTGCAATGCAATGTTGGACAGTGAGTCCATGGCGGAGGTCCTAGGAGATATCTGGCAAGAGTTTTGCCAAGGTTGGTGGGAGCAGAAGCGACCGGCGGCGGCTCCGGAGGCTGGGGCGGATCCGGAGTCAGACGCGGCTGAAATAATGCAGGGGGACATCGAAACGAAGCAGCAATCCAGTGCCGTATCGAAGCCGTCGGGCTCGGATGATGGAGGGACAGGAGGGGACGCTGTGGAGAGCTCGCCGCAGGTTACGGACGAGCGTCTGACTGCGCCGCCGCCGTTGTCTCAGGTAGAGTTGCAGCAGCGACGCCGGCGTCGGAAGAACCGGAAGAAGAGACGTCGTGACACGGATGAAGACGTCGAAAAGCGGAGACGTCGCGCCTCGGCCGACCATGGTGGCCGCCGCGTCATATACGACCGCCGTAGAGGCAGCTACGACCGCGGTGGCCTACCACGTCGGAACAGTCATGATGGTGGCACGGACCACCGACTTGCCCCGGGCGACCGCAACTACCGTCCGCGGTACGGCCGAGGCTATAACCCCAAAGGCGACTACCGCGGCGCAGGCCGCTACCGAGAGGAGGACAGTCGCTACCGCGACCCCGACAGCCGCTACCGCGCCGCCGACAGTCGCCACCGCGACACCGACAGTCGCGATCGACGAGACGAGGGGCACCGCGACGAGGACTACCGAAAAGATGGCGGCGGCTACCGAGAAGGTGGCGGCAGCTACCGAGATGGCAGCCGAAACAACTACCAAGACGGAAGCCGAGGCGGCTACCGGGATGGCAATGGTGGTTACCGAGATGGCAATGGCAGCAGAAATGGTGGTTACAGGAACGGCGGTGGAGGCTACCGGGACGAAGGGTACCGAGATGGAGGCTACCGAAATAGCGATGGGAGTTACCGAGATGACCCGAGTTATCGGGACAGACGCTCTGGCTACCAAACAAACCCTTACGGCAACGGCAGTCGTTCTGCTTACCAGTCTCGCTATGATCAAGACCCCAACCGGTCGCGGACTTGGCGAAACGAAACGTCGCAACGGGACGACCCAGATCGCGGCAGAGAAGACCGCTGGCGCGACCGCGGCCGAAACCGAGAGGACGGCTACCGAGCGGAGGCCGACAGGGAATCGGGCCGACCCGCTGGTGACCGAGCAGGGGGCGGGCGGTATCCGGAAGACCGGCGCCCACGTCGGACCAGCGACTACGGCGGCAAGCCTTATCCACGCTGACGCTGGGTTCGCCTGTGGCGATGAAGATGGGACGGGTGTGCGGCGGCACGACCTTCAGCGGTGAGGACCTTTAGTGGTGAGGACCTTCAGTGTGGGTCATCCTTGTGTGGTAGGTCAACACTGTCAGTCGATCGATCTCTAGTGGGCGTCAATGAGTCATTTATTGAAAAAGTGTCCGACACTTAGAGCTGGGATGGCGCTAGTCCATTTAGTCGGGTAGCACGATCACGGGGACGTCCCAAGGCCCGCTGAGGTTGCTCTTGTACTTGACATTGAGAAGGTACAGGGCAGGTCCCATAAACAGCAACACCATTAACCTGAAACGCAAACGTCCTAGCCCACTCTGATAGATGAACTTTATCCACAGTGGTTGGCCTGGGTCCGCATGACGTAACGACGTACGGCCACGACGGGGGATAATGATAGGGAGCCGTCAATGTCCACATTACGGACACAATGGCATGGCAGGTGTGGTGGTACGGTGGACGTGGTGGTACGGTAGGTGTGGTAGTACGGTAGGTGTGGTGGTACGGTAGGTGTGGTGGTGCGTAGGTGTGGTCTTACGTCGCAATATATGTAATCATTAGCACTGTATTGTCTACGAACCAGTGAACCAAAACCAGAGACACGCTGGTCAAGAAGCCAGTCAGTCCGACGTCGTGGACCCACGGCTTCCAGAGCTAAAAGAGAACTGTGGGATGTTGGCATTCTTACATAGACAGATCTCCGTAACGGTAGGGTTAAAATCAGTGCACTACGACAAAGGAAATATCTGCGGTGGAACCCGCTAAGGGAAAGGAAAGTGTGCATTACAAGACGCCAAACAATAGAACGGCGAACACTTGGTCAGCGTCCCGCAGTCTTGACACGAGCAGTGTTGTTCCGACGATAGAGGCATTCAATGCCACAGCGCCCCCATTGTAGGGCACCGGTAGGAACACTCTCTGATGGTCAAATGACACCAGGTGAATCAAAAATAGCACTGAAGAGAAATATGCACGGATTTGGATAAATAGGACAATTCTGCGAGGGCAGAAAGAAGGGGGTCTGGTCAGGATGCATTACCAACTGTTAGGCATATAACCGTGTCATGACTGAAGCTTTGAGTTAATGTCTGCAGTAACGGAGAGAGCACTTTGAGACAGCCGATAATGACTGTTATCCTTTTGAAAGCCGTCATGCTTCCGTCAGTGGAAGGGTGTTGGTCCATCAAATCCACAGGTTTCTTGGTCCACCAAGTACCCAGCCAGTATAAAGAGATCAAAGCAAAGTCTATAAATGTTAACGTGGCTGCACTAATCATCGAAGGCTGTCGGTCGACGCCCCGCCAAATCGCTATATGGATAACCACAATGCATATAGGCTGCACTATTCGTCCAGTTAAAGAGACCAGGTACCAGTATCCATAACGTGGTGGTTTAGCTAAAAGACGAAACATATCACAGGCCGTAAACCGATCGCAACAAGTCCAGAGAGTAGTCCATGCAGCGTAGGGAGGGATCATAGGGTATACATACCATTCTGAACAAGACAGTCCAGGAATCGTTTGGTGTCTGTATAGTCGTCTGGGAACGGTTGCTTCGCGTACAATACTTTCCTCCAAACGTTAACCTTATATCGGTTGCCAGAAGATGACTTCTCCAGCACAAATGAATTACTAGACCATGCAGGCACTGCAATACATCCCGGCAGTGTTACAATATCATCACTCTTTTCATTGCTTCCGAGTTTGGTTACTACCTTTAATGAAATCAACCTGCTTAACCGGCGCACTCACCATAGCTCGTATGTTCCCACATATTTTACACGTGGTAGCTGCTTCATCGTATTTGGCTCCATCAAACGGGCAGAATAAGCATTCAACTGCGCCCCAGGACCGCCGATCATTTTCTGCCATTTTTCATCAATCAAATTCGCTCTATCATCGAGCCCTCTTCCTTTTGTACACCACGCAATCACCAGAGCATTTTGCCAGAGCCAGAAAATGAAAAGGGCCCTCCAACCTGGTCAAGTACCAGCAAGCATTTTCTTAGTGCACACACGTGTGCGCTATGCATGAACCAGGTGAACAGCGATATTTGGGAATTGCCGTTCCGGAGCATTGAGTTTATCACCCCGATTAAGAAGCGTCCGCATCTTCATAGTGGCCTATATGGAATTGAACAGGGCACTTATCAGCCTCGCTTTCAGAACAGTTGGGAAACGGATTATATTCATGAAAGCTCGTCAAGTGATGTCGGAGTCATCAAAGAGGCTGCTGTCACTGAATTGAAGGCGGCTCTGGACACTGGTCAAGACGCTAACCTGAGCATAAACTGGTAAGAGAGCCCTATATTTTAAGCGACACGCTGGAAGGCTTCAGAGGTTGTTTTGGGCTTTGAGAGGCTACCAGCGGTACCCAGACAGTATGGAACGGGAAATATTGCTACAGAGGTACTGAATTATTGGGAGGGGTCATTATGTGCCCCTTGCAGAGAGATCCGAAATTTTCACCACTGCGCGCAGTCAATTACATCTGAACTACTCCATTACATGGTCGCTGAGTGCTCTACCGCAGCTTTGCTGGCGGGTTTTGTGGAATTGGACCCAGAGAGACACAAGGGAGTGTTCGAGTTTCATGCTCCGTTGTTTTCAGCTGACCGCCTATTTGTGAAGGACAGCATTGTTATGACTTTTGTAGCAGGAGGTACTGCTACAACGCGAGACCGGAAGGAATCTGGGAACCTGGCGGTGGATTACAGATCGGCATATAAGACCTACAAAAACTGGGTTCGGGGTGCCGAGTGGTTGGCGGCTGCTGTCATGAGGTATGCGGAGGACGATCCCGTTATTTCGGTATGGCCGGGATACTGCGGCTTTGTCGACTGGGGACCAGTGAGTGCGTTTTATGAACCCCTCTTATTGCCGGGTAACAGGCCGTTGAAGAGGAAGCCGGCTGACATATTGCATAATACAGATGACTATAACCGGGCGGTGGCGACATTGTGCCAGCACCCGGGATACGAAGGGTTTGATTCCTCCAGAGTTTTGCACTGGTTCCAGAATGGAATCTCCAGCCTTTATATGCATGATCCGTTGTTCGGCGGCTGGTTGGTGGAGTGGTACCGCCGGCTGAATCTGAGTGAGTTGCCTGTGGGGTTGTCGGATTTGAGGAACTTGCTTTGGGCTTCGAAGACGAACGTGGTCACCTCGGTGGAGTGCATTTTGTACTGGACCATCCTCGAGGGCGAGCTGGGATTGTTGCACTTCCGCAATTTGGCGGAGTTGCTGCCTCCACTGGCTTTTTCGCCGACGATGATGATGTTGCCCAACTCGATTGCGGGCAGTCAGGTGCAGCAGACGCAGGCGTCGAACCTGTCTCGGCACTGCATCAATCTGCAGCAGGTGAGCGCGGAGGGGCCGCGACTCATCACCATTCCGGACATGTTGCTGCGGCGGTGTCCGTTGGACGTGCTGGTGCTGCGGGGCGAGCAGGGGAGCGACGTGGGGTACAGCAGCGGGATGAACTTCCCCACCTTCGCCTCTTGGGCGCTGAGTCACGACGCGGCGGCCTGGAGCGGGGCGGGCGCGACGTTGTTAATGTCGCTGCGCACGGGGCTGTTGGAGTTTTGGCACGGGAACTGCATTACGGGTTACGAGTTCCGCAAATGGGTGAAGAGTTACGGACTGGGCACGCGCGACGTGTGTCAGTACGTGTTGCTGAACCCGCTGAATGTGTTCCATGCGCACCTGCAGGCGTTGGCGATGCGCGAGCTCGTGACCAAGGCGTTGAAGCGGCACGTGCAGCAGGGGCTACGGCTGCAGCGGGCGCGGAAGCTGTCGCAGCAGCAGGCGCCGCAGGTCGCTTTGCCGCGACCGTACGACCCGCGATTCGACCCTGCGCAGGTGGTGCGGCATTTCTTTGCCAGTTCGACTGCGGTTATGGACGAGATGGCGCGCTGGTTTCAGAGTTTTCGGCAGAACGTGGCGGCACAGAGCGCGGCTTGGTGGGAGCAGAACGTGACACCGGACTTCACGGCGTTGCTGACGGTGACGGCGAGCAGTCCGTTGCTGGCGCTGCCGTCGGCGACGGAGGTGTTGGACAACGTGAAGAAGGTTAGTGAGATCGCGCGGTTGCCGGCGACGTTGCTGGCGACCTGCCTGCGCGCGGGACTGCGCTTTGACCTGGGCGAGGAGGCGCCGACCTACCGGTTTCTGGGTACGTGCTTGCGGCAGGTGGGCGAAGGTGTGTTGGACTCGGTGGTGCAGCGCGCCTCGAGGTTGTTGCGGGCGGCAGCGGACGCAGCGGCGGAGTTGGAGGTGAAGTTGCCGGAGCACGTATTTCCGCGCGTGTTGCTGGCCTGTGGGAGCGGGGCGACGCGGCGGGTGCGAGCGGCGGATGATCAGCGTGCGGCGGCGCTGGAGCGTTGTTGGCACTCGCCCTCCTCTTTCGACTACCGTTCGCGAGGTGTGCCGCAACAGGCGGAGTTCAGTGAGCGCACGGCGTTGCGGGCGGTGAGTTACGGGCTGCGTCCATTGGGTATGTCGCACGGTGCGGTTGGGCGGCTGAGTGCTCAGCTGCGTCACCGCAAATGGCCTTGCCAGCCGCTATGTGTGCGCGAGCCGGAGGGGTTGTGCAGTGTGTGGGCTCAGTACGCGCGCGCGGTGGAGGCGGGTTTTTTGATCGGTCTGTACTGTGCGGAGACGGAGGTCTGCGAGTGCGCCCGCTGGCCCCGGTTATTGCTCGAGTATGCCTACGCCGCGCTGCAGCACGGCGAACTGGATGTGGCCTACCACTGCGCCATCCGCGTCGCGCGTCTCCGCGCCGAAACGCTGCCGCGGATTGAGGATGCGGTCCGGGCGCGCTACCTTCTCTTCGAGGTCGCCTGCGACGCCAGCATCCCGCTCGAGCACGCTGGCCGACTCTACCGCGCTTGGAGCGACGTGAAGCGCAAGCCATTGAGCACCGAGGGCCGCTTCGACACGATCCGGTGTCTCGAAGATATTTATGCGCACATCCCCGCCGTGCAGACGGACGGATTCGTCAGTGGGCAGCAGACGGTCGTGCCGCTGTTCAATCTGACGCTCGCCACGCGGCTTATGGCCGCACTTTCCGGCTCCGCTGCGGCGGGCGAAAGCAGTGAGGCGAAATTGCTGAGCAAGACCGTTTCGCGACTGCTCGAGACGACCGTCCAGCTTCTGCAGCTTTGCCACTCACAGTACGTCCCGCTACCGCCGCTGTTGCTGCTTGCTTTCCGCGCGCGCATCAGTTACTACCGCCGCGTCTGCCAGCTCTGGCCTGAGGGTACGGCGCGCGGGAGCCTGCGCCACGCCTTCGCCGGCTACCTTATGGAAGCGCGGGAGGCGCCGTGCGTGAGTGACAAGGTCTTTGGTGTAGATGTGTACTACTTTTGCCTGCTGCGGTGCATTTCCGAACACCGCATCGCCAAACACCGCAGCCGCGATCTGCGACCTGTGCCGGTCGACGAGCTCGTACTGCCCATCGGCGCGAGCAACGTAAACCGGCAGGAATGCGACCCGGACGGCTCGATCGCGCAGCTGTGCTGGCTCGCTTCTGTCCTCGTGGAGTCGAGTGCCTCGCCGCTGCAGCCTGAGTGCATCGGAGCACTTATCCTCTGCGGCAAGGACTTGGTTGTGCGCAGCATCTCGGACATGGCCAGCGCCTTCACGGACATGCGCGGCCCACAGGACGCGGCCTTTGCCGCTGCGTTGCGTGACGAAAGCCTCGGACTCAGGGTCGACAGCCGACTAGGCGACGAGAACCTGAACGTGGACTACCTCTTCGCGCCCGGCTATCACCCCAAGGCCGACCGCCAGCTGCGCGCACTGCAGCGCGTGCTCGGCCTAGCCTGGTATAACCCCAGTCGCCAGCGCCTGCTCGAGGTAGCGACCAACGTCTGCTACCGTGTCGCCTATTACCGGCTCGTGCTCAAACTTAAAAATCTGCGTCAGTACAAGACCGTTACGCTCCGCGACCTACGCGACGGTCAGACCGTCGTGCAGGAGGTCCCGCTCGAGCACGCTGACCAGACGCTGGCCAAGTTGCGCGAATTGGCCTGGGAGATTTTATGTGCTAAGGCGCTCGGCCTCTCCGAAACGCAGGAAATGGCGCTCGTCTCGCAGTGGCAAACGCAGGGCACCTACGTGCGCGACCGCGTGCAGATCCGGCTGAACAAAAGCCTCGGCGACAACCCCTCGGTCGGCATTAACCATGCGTTCGTGCAGGAAGAGTACCAAAGTCTGCGCGACTACCTCACGCGACACCTCGACGAACGTACGCGCCAGGGCATCATCGACCAGTGCCTCGCCTGGTGCGACCGCAGCGAATATCCTGGCATCCAGAACTACGTGCTCGACCGCACGCGGACGCCGGCGCGCTGGTTCACCGACCATGTGCTGTCTGGCGGCTCGCTCGAAAGTTCCGTCATCTTCGACATCATTCGCGGCAGCCACACTACGCACTGGCTCCGCGCCAAATGGCTCATTCACTACCTGTCCTCCGTCGTGGGACTGCGCAGAGCCGAGTCCGCGCGTGAAGATGCCGCCGCCCAAGGCCCCGCCGGCATGCGCCACGCCGCCGTCTACAACCAGTGGATGCTCACTGCCCGCGCCGCCGACAAGGTCGTCGACAACCTGCCCGCGCTGCTGCCTGTAGTCCGCATGCGCCGCTCCTGAGCCAAAGTCTTGGCCCTTGGCCCTTGGCCGCCGCGTGACCCCTGCGCCGGTTCGAGGCCGGACTCCCTGGGCGGAGATTCGGAGCGGAACTCGAGTAGGACTCGAGTTCTACTGCCCGAAACTCAGTCGGGTGGCAGGCGCACACGCGTGTGGTCGATGCGAAGCATTTTTCGCGCGGCATTGGCGTTCCTCGGAGTTAGGGTTCAAGGTAGGTTGGGGCGGTTGGCAACGGAGTAGGTGTTTTGTAGGCCAAGTAGGACTCGATGGGCAAAGTGTGGTGGGCGTTCCGGATGCTTCCATTGCGGCTCCAGACAGCGTTCTTGGTGCAGCAAGTGCGGCGGTGGGTTCGGACAAAGTCGCGGACATGATCGCGCGGTCGAAGCAGTTGGGATCGGGTGCGAAGGCGGGCGACCCGCACTCGTTGGTGAACAAGTTGCAGGATGCGATTTCGCGTGCGAGGTTGGCGCGATCGAGCGACCTGTCGTACGAGCAGATGGAGCAGGTGGTGAGTGACACGAACGAGGAGTTGCAGCGACTGGAGGAGCAGGACAAGTTGAACAAAGTGCAGGACGCGTTGGCGCGGGCGCGGGTGGCGCACAGTAGCGCGCCGGCGGTGGACCCTGCGGACGAGGCGAGCAGTATGTTGGGGGCTTTGCGACAGGCGGGTGCGGCGCAGGCTAGCCCAGAGTTGAAGCAGAACCTGGCGTTGGGTGCGCAAATCGAGGGGTTGAATGCGAACATTGCGAAGTTGAAGGACGTGGAAGCACGTGCGGCGGCGTTGGAGGCGCATGCGTCGGAGGCGCAGCGTAGCGAGGAGGCGGTGCAGGAGACGGACGATGCGTTGGCAGCGTTGAAGACAGCGTTGCAGCAGGCGCAGAACTTGGAGCAGGAGCAGAAGTTGATGACTTCGGGTGAGCCGGCGGAGAAACCGGAGTTTGGGCCGTCGGCGGTGGAAGCGGAGGAGGCGCAATTGTTGGGTGGCGAGACGGCGGAGGTGTTGGGCGACCTGGCGGCGGAGCAAGAGGAGGAGAAGCAGGTGACGAGTGGGGACAATCCGGCGGACCTGATGACGAACATTTCGCCCCACGACACGGCCGAACAGGGTACGTTGGAGACGGCGATTCAGGTGATTCGGAGTGCGGCGACGGACCCGCGGGACGCGACGGAGAAGTTGATAGAGTTGATGCGGGCGGAGGGGGACAAACTGGAGAGTTTGGGTGACAAGGTGAAGGCCTTGGCGCAGGCTAAGGACGAGTTTGTGGCGCAGTCTGTGCGAATTTTGCGGGACGCGGAGAACAGTTCGGGACGCGCCAATGCGGAGGCGGACGTGGCGAACGAGTTGAACGCGGAGGCGGGTGCGCGGCTGGAGCAGCTGGCGCAGGGGGCGCAGACGGGGGTGCCGGGGCTGGGTGCAAGTGCGGCAGGCCGAGGCACGAAGGCGGTAATGGCACAGGCGGAGAAGGCGAGTCAGCGGGCGCAGTTGGAGAGTCGGTCAGCGCAGGAGTTGGCGGCGAGTGCGGAGCATCTGAGTGCGCGGGCGACGGAGATGGCTGATTCGGTGGAGGAGCAGACGCAGATGATGGAGGAGTTTCTGGGTAATATCAAGATGATATCGCAGAACGCGTTGGATGAGGCGCACAGGACGGCGACAGCGGAGGGGTGGGTGGGTCGTGTGGAGGAGCAGCGGGACGGGATTTTGGCGGAGGCGGCGACGTATGAGAGCATGATCAAGGACATGCAAGCGGACGTGCCGCGGGAGTTGAGTTTGGGTGATCGTTTGCAGGTGTTTGCGGACCAGACGGTGAAGAACATGGCGGGGTTGCGGAAGGAAGCGGGTTGCGAAGAAGGGCACCAGGCGGCGCACGAGAAGGAGTTTGCGGCGGTGACGGGTGAGAGTGCGAAGCATATTCCCCATGAGTGTACGGAAGAGACCTGTGAGGAGGAGGATCCATGCGAATCTAACTGTCCGGATTCCACGCCCGCACCGGCTCTGCCGCCGGTGCATGAGGTAGATCCATGTGACCAGGCGCTTAAGGACGCTAAGTCACGTCTGGGTATGCGTTCGATGACTTTCTTGCAACGACCCATTTTGGCTCCCGGGCGTTTTTTATATGAACGAACTGCATGAGCTAGTAGACAACTGGTCAGAGAAGGACCTGACGAGCGGCACGTACCAGCTGCCGAACTATCTCCGGCTGAAAAACGTGTGGAAAGAGTGGGCTGCCGACAAGGCGGGCAGCGCAGGCGCCAGGCTGGCCGATCTGCGCTACCTCATCGGAATCGGACTCACGAGTGTGGACAGTGAACTGGGAATGGCGATTTTAGACCGCGTGATAGACTACAACCTACGGATGACCGCGGAGCCCCGCAGTCCGGAACTGGACTTGACCACGCAAGAAATGATTGATTTGCTCAAAGTAAGAGCTCACTTATGGAATTTACCGGTGGGCCCCATCCGTAAGCCCCAGCTGTGAACCTTACTTGTGGGCCTGCTTGTTTGTGAATATCGCTCATTTGCGTTTTATTAGTGGATTTCTCATGTAATACCCACACTTGTTTTCTTGTAGTATGCCCTGGACATCTTGCTACCAACAGAGAGTTACTATGAGAATTTCTTGTCATTATGGGCGATCCAAAACAAGCTAGTCGCTAGTCTGCGCACTGGGGAGAATGGACTAAGCGAGAAAGTACGGATCGACAAAGGAGCGAGCGAGAAAAATATACTAAGATCCATGTACTCGTCCTGGAGAAGGATCCGGGGCCTAGAAGTTGAATTAGCTTGTATGACTGTTGAAAGGTATTATTATATAACCATCGCTTGTTACGAAGTGTGTGTTGGAAGGAGGTGGCATAGGCCATTTCCTGAAGATTTAATTGCAAAATGTTCTTACCTAATTGAGGATTTCGTTCAACGGAATGGTCTTCGATGTGCATATTTGCCTCTGTTGCTTAGCGAGCAAGATACGCCAGAAGGTGAGAATGAATTGGTAGGAAAGAAGCCTATGATTAGGGACAGAGACATCGTTAATATTGTTGCAGCAAATGAGATTTTATCTTCATTAGAGATCCGTGCTCTTATTTCTGAGTTACAGGCGTTGCGGATCGCTGCAGTAATTGATCGTGATTCTGTACATCTGGATAGGTTAGAACCTATATCCTATATTTGGACTAGGAGTTTAGGTTATTATTTCAAAGCAGATCCTGCCAGCGCAATTCATCAGGCGTTTGATACCTTGGATTTCATGTCGTGGCAAACTAGTGATCCAGACAGCGAGAAGAGTATTAAGTGGGCACTGGTTCGATATTGTGAGTTGTTATCAATTCGTTGTAGTCCAACTCAGGTTGAAGACTTGTGGAATTTTCTAATTCAAAATCCGAATGGTTCAGTTGAGGAGTTTGAGTTCGTGGACCTCAGGAGGCTTAATGAAGTGGTCCGAAGTCTGATATGTGCGTTACAAGATTATGAAGAGGCTTTGCAGATTTTATTGGAACAGTTGTTTTTCCAGGATGAGGTGTTCTGTCGGGCATTGGTATTGAGAGGTATATATTGGCCTGCATTGATATCAGCTGTAGATCATTTGAAAAGCTTGGATGGGAAAGGATATCGTGGATCACGATTTTGTAATAGACTTCGGGATCTTGCTGCATATTATTCAGAGTGCGAAAGATTACACCCAAAGATGTACTCCCATCCTTTGTTATACAAATTATTACCTGAACAGCCAGAGATGTTTCCAGGACACATGATTGTATGCGAAAAATTATTAGAGATGGGACTTAACCTTAACAGCGACATTATTGAAAACACGTTACCTCGTAATCCAATGTTTATTGGCCCATCTCATGGCGATATAGACGAGGCGGTAGCACGAGGTCTAGAACGAGCTATATGTCTCGCTTTAGATGAGATAGGTAACTACTCATTCCCCGGAGTACCTGATGACTTTTGTTCCGAGAGTAATCTGCCAATGTTTCTGAGACCAACGATAGAAAAAATATCTACAGCAAATGGTGTTGTGTGCATGGTGATCCCGAACGATCGACACCCGGTACCGTCTTCGATAAATGAGTATATGAAGACTTCTGCCATGTCGACAAAATTAGAACAGAGGTGTGTAGAGAAGATACAACAATTACTCAAACAAGGCAGTACGGCCCGGCTTGAGGTAATTTTCTTGCTTACCGTATTCAGTGGATTACGACGCCAGGTAAAGGAACGGTATTTTTGTGCTATAACTGCACAAGCAATGTGCGCTAATTCACCTGACTGGTACAGTACCTTGAATGGCCTCTTAATAATCGCAAACGGCACTGGCGGACTCGTGGAAGGATTGGGCGACGCCGCTGTTCTGGAGCGTCGAGAGAATGGCACTCTAGAAAAGAACGTTGTGGACAGTTTTGCCCACCGGGCATATCGCCATGGTGAGGGGATGGAGGAGGTATATGCCGTCTTCGACTATTGGTCGCAAGTGGCTTCAGACGTCTGGGGCCCAGAATGTCGGCTGTGGTCGCATCTTTTGTATGACCTTCGATACAATAGTGATTTGGGTCCTAACGGGATCCAGTCGTCGCCCTGGTATGATGAAGCGCTACAATATCTGTGCAAACGTCCGTGCGAGAAGTTTCCGATTGCGGAACAAATAGTTCTACACTACGTTGACCTAAAAGATCGGTTGGTGGTTAACGCCTTAATCAGAGGCCTTGAATCACACATCTCTGCGAGGCTGACGCGCCAAGTCGAGACATTCCTTCGCATTGACGGAACCGACCAAGTGGGTGCCGACACAATCAGCTCCGATGAGGAGGAAGAACGGAGCGATGCCTTCGCGTCGCCGCCGGAATGTTCCACTAGCAGCGCGCCTCTGTTGGCGTTCACGGCCGAGCTGCGGAACACGGCTTTGGGGAAGCAGCCGGAAGCGCTGGCGGCCAAACGATCTACCGAGTCCAGCCAGGAGTCGTTTCAGAGCGCCGAGTATGTGACGCCCCCGGCCCTCGGCACGAGTATGTCGCCGACCAATGTACCGGAGGACGAGCACAAACGAAAGGCGAGTGGCGGAGTGCCGGAGACTGGACCTGATGAATCGACAATGTCCGCGCAGAAAGTCGCGGCCGGGCCAATGCAGGACGCCGCAACTGAATCGGTGCAGGACGCAGAAGGCGGATTGGCTGAGAGGTCAGTGAGCGACGGCGCGTGGAAGAACATCTTGTCGGGGGAGCATTCCAGTCGGTCGACCTTTGGCGACCACCCGTTCGGCGGACGGCTCCCACAGGGCCCGCCCATCACTAAGTTCGTGACTGGTTGGCTGGCCTCTGCGATGCAACCGATCCTGTCGCATGTACACGCTGCGACGGACTCCGCGGCGGAGCGACAAAGGTCCATGCCGGTTGCGGACTTCGCAGATCCGCAGCTTTCTTCTGACTCTTTGAAGCAGAAGCGGGCGGCACCAGACGATGAGAGCCGAATGCAGTCCGAAGACTTGGCCCGAAGGCCGCCCGAGATCGAACCCGATCTCACGCGAACCGCAGTCACCACCAAACGCGGGCTAGGAAGACGCGTCCGATCCTACAAGGGCTCGCCAACGGCCGTGCCTCAGTCCTCTCCATTCCCCGAAGCGAGTGCTGTGCCTTTTTCCATGGTTCCAGCCGCTGCCAACACCGTCCCCGCAATGATTACCGTTCCCGACACAGATGCAATGGTTCCCACCACGGACGGAATGGCTACGGACGGAACGGCTACGGACGGAACGGCCACGGATGGAACGGCCACGGATGGAACGGCCACGGATGGAACGGCCACGGATGGAACGGCCGCGGATGGAACGGCCACGGATGGAACGGCCACGGATGGAACGGCCACGGATGGGCCTGTAATCGACGCGGAGGGAGTATCCCCCGCGGGCGAAGGTTCCGAAATGGAGCGGGCGATCGACGACGCCGCTCGAGAGACCCGG